AAAAGACGTGGTGCCCTACACCCACGAAATGCCCAGGCAGATAGTGGAGGTGATGGAATGGTTGGAATTGAAGGCCCCCTCATCTTAAAGTTGCTGAGCTTGAGAAACACTGCTATATAGTAACTGATCCCTGTTATGAAAAAAAGTCAGCAAAACAGTCTGTTGGTCATTTCACGATCTCTCTGTCCTGTCCAGTTTCTCAGAACATCTTCCAACAAAGCACTTTTAAAAAAAAAGAAAGAGCCTCTTATATGTATGAAGTAAGTTAAATAATGCCTTTTATTTTAGAGATTTATTCTGAATGTAATAACCGGTGTTTAGTTTAATGGATTTAATGCACATATTTATTTTATTTATATGTAATGCAATGTAAAACGGTGGAGTGGTATTCTGGGCTTAGGGGCTGGGGGCAGCGGTTGGCCAGCGGCCTGGGGCCACAGGAGTTCCAGCTCACCTCAAAGGCAAAAGGGGCTTGGGGGTCATCTAGACCAACCCCTTGCTTGCAGCCATAAGCTCCCAAGCTCAGCAGCAGAACTAACGCAGCCGCCCAGCCTGTCCTGCTCCGCCCCTGCGAAGGGGAGCGCGCCATGTCCTGCTGTTCAGAGGAGGCCCCGAAGCCTGAGCGGTGTCATTCCCACCTCGCGGTTGGAGTTCTGTGCTCTGGGCTGGCGGAAAGACGGACGGCTGTTTGGCACAATTGAGTCTAGCTGGCTTGCTTGCTCCTTTTCTCCTCTCCTCCTTCCTTCCTTTCCTCTTTCTCCTCTCCTGTCTTTTCCTTTCCTTCCTTCTTCCCTCTCCTTCCCTCCTTCCCTCCCTCCTTCCTTCCTTCCCTCTTCTCCCTTTTCCTTCTTCTCCTCTCTTCCCTCTTTCCTTCCTTCCTTCCTTCCTCCCTCTATCACTCCTTCCTTCCTTCCTTCCTCCCTCTCCCTTTTCCTTCCTTCCCTCCTTTCCTTCCTTTTCTTCCTTCCTCCCTCCCTCCCTCTCCCTTTTCCTTCCTTCCCTTTCTTTCCTTCCTTCTTCCCCTCTCTTCCCTCCCTCTAGGGCATTGGAATGAATGACAGAAATGCTGCCGGAGACCCTGGGTCAGCTTAGCAAAAGACCCCCCCCCCGGCTTTGAGTGCGTATCATCCACACAAGGTCAACGTGTGAACCCATCTGTCAAAGTGACTGACTCCACCTCTGATTCCAAGGTTAGGTTCGCACATGGTGCTAAACCATCGTTTAAGGAGTAACCCTCTGCTGGTTGGGCCCTCCCCGCGTGCTCCACGGGCAGCCCGTGTGTTTTTCCTCCCTTTTTTCTTTTTCTTCCGCCCCTCATTCCTTCTCCTGGTTCTTGGCCTGCCAAATGCCCCTCCTCGGTCTTCCTCCACCTCTTTCTTCCATCCCCTTTGCACTCAGCAAAGGGGCGAGCAGTTTCTACCCAGCTCTGCATCTGGGGATATTATTTATTGCATTCATTTACTGAAAATTATTAGAGATTATTCATACATTGCTGTACACCATATTGGAGTCATCCGTCACAGACACACACCCTTTCTTGAAAGAACTTAAAACTGTTTTATGGATTTTGTGGAAATACTTTTATCTGGCTCGGTCTTTTTTTCTTTCAGAGATTGATGCCTCGTGTTTTTCTTAGTCCCGATACATACTGCTTAGTATTTTTTTTTCCCTTCGAAAAGTCCGTATTTGCAACCTAATTGACACAAGTGAGCTCTCCGGACGTTATCAGGACTTAGAATGGCCAGCGAGTGACAGCTTTTTTAGTGAGCTCCTAATCCTCCTATTTTAGTTACCTTTTATATATACTTTATATACTTTAGTTACCTTTTATATATAGTTTTAAGACAGTTCATTTTATCTAATATTAATTAGTGATCTTAGGAATTAGTGATTTTAGTTTATCAGTAGTAGTAATTTTAGGAATTCAGACTGCATATGTGGGGTTGATTGGGGTAAATTGTAGGGGTGACATGGAAATATGATCTGTACCCTCACTTATCTGTATACTTCTTGTATTTTATTTCCATTTTACCTAATGTGTTATTACATTGGGTTTTATTAACACTTTGTGTTTGAAATCTTGAATTTTGATATGGCCTAAGGGCTAATCAATAAACTTTGATTTGATTTGACTTAGAATTTCACCCACAGGACAGGAAATAGGTGCAAGATAATTGTATTTAAAGCACAGAATCCTAGAAATGTGGAGTTGAAAGGGATCCCCAAGGATCATCTAGTCCAGTGTTGTCCAAACTTGGCCACTTTAAGATGCATGGACTTCAACTCCCAGAATTCCCCA